GGACATCTCATTTCTCTAAATGCACATCGAGGACCGAGCATCGAGCATCGAGGAGGCTCTCTGGAGGAGCTCTAACCGAGGAGACACTGATGGGTCCTCCACGGCTCCTCCGCGGATGCATTTCCGGGAACGGTGGAGGCTTGGCGCACGGCCGGACTGATCTCAGCCAATCACAGCTCTGCATGCATCCCATGGATATTATTTTAGTAACTGCTTTCATCGCGACGCGATGTTTTCAGTGAGAACAGCTGTGAGGTCCGTGCAGAAAGCAGAGCAGTGTGTATACTATATATCACTCAGTATAACAGGCCTACATTACTCTCTGTATTTGTATGCTGTAGTTTAGTAGATATCTACAAACAAAGAGTCGATATTTTTCTAGGACCATTTAGTGCTTCACATAATAAAATACACAACGGCTGTAGCCTGATTATGCTTTAGGAGCTGTAGGTGTGTGTGGTACAGTGTGTAGGTGTGTGTGGTACAGTGTGTAGGTGTGTGTGGTACAGTGTGTAGGTGTGTGTGTGGTACAGTGTGTAGGTGTGTGTGGTACAGTGTGTAGGTGTGTGTTGTACAGTGCGTAGATGCGGCGGACAGACGGGTCTCAGTTGGTTTGGTGTCCTATGCTTACTTTTAATACTAATAGATACAACTTTTGGCCCGTAATTTCAATTCCTCATTTCAGCGACCATAGAGAGGGGGGGGGGGGGGGGATATCCAGTCTCAGATTGTGTTACGTTATTATGAGAGTGCTCTCATACTTGTTTGATTCTGAAATTATATATATTTATATAAATATATGTGTGTGTATATGTCCGCATCTGTAGCCTGTTATTGTCTCATTATACCGCACTGTCAATGAATTAAAAGTAAATATATAAGTCATCATGAACACATCTGTCCATCAGACAGAGGGCTGCTGTGCCTCCTGTCATCATTAATGGACGTCTCTTTAAAATGACCGCTCAGAGGAGAGGAGTTCTCATTTCTCTAACCGCCTGCTGCTTCCCCTCCTCTCTCCTCGGCTCCCCTCCTCGACTCCTCCGCTCGCATCTCCTGTGGGCGGCACTAAGTCTCCAGGATAGGAGTCGAGGAGGGGAGTCGAGGAGGGGAAATTAGAGTATTGAGAAACCTCTAGTGTGTGTGATCCTACCTCTGCAGCCTGAGCACAGTCCTTAGTTCTTCTGTGGAGCAGAAACCAGCTCTCCTCATACCTGAAGAGACACATACAGAAACATATAAGTGTGAGCGTGTGTGTGTGGTTTTGTTCGTGTGTCTGTGTATGTATGTGTGTGTATATGTGTGTATGTGTGTAGTCGTGCAGGGTAAAGTGTGTTTCTACAGTTGTGTGTGCTGTGATGCTTGTAGGTGTGTGAAAAGGTGTGTGATGTGTGTGTACGTTTCTGTGTGAGTGGTTGTGTGTACGTGTACGTGTACGTGTGTGTGTGTGTGTGTGTGTGTGTGTGTGTACCTGCTGAGGATGTCCAGTCCAGCACTGAAATGAGGAAGGCTTTCTTCAAACCTGAACAAACATGAGGACAATAAGTGAGTAATGGAAAGAATCACATGTAGATGATGGATGATATCTCATAGCAGTGACCTAAGCTAAACACTGTTTTAAACAACAAAACAAACAGTTCAGGCTCTTCAAAACCAATTGTATTTGTTGTAATAAAATAAGAGTCCTATCGTCTTCCTCTGAAGCAACAACATGATTGGCTCTTTGGTGAGCGTATAGCTCTTCTTCTTTTCTGAACGTATTGTTGGATTGCTAACCAACTTTAAGGTGAATACCACCACGTACTGGTCACGGCTGCACATGAGAGGTCAATGAAAGCTATCTGGCTTTGTATTATTGGATAATAATGTATTGGCTGTGATTTTATTGTACCAATAATACATAATAATATAATATGCATTTACAATTATCGGTTGTTACATCCCTCACTGTATTATTACCCGTTTTGTAAGAAAATGTATACACTAGCAAGTCAACATATGTTAACACTTTATTCATCTGTCATCTTCCAACAGGTTGCCACGCACACAGGCACACACACACCTGGGTCTTCTCCTGACTTTGGTGTCTCTTGATTTGTCTCCAAGGGTCTTGAAACTGAAGGGAGGAAAAGAGGAGATAACTGAAGACAATCAGGGATGTACACATGTCTTTGAACACCAAGATAAAAAACATTGAAAATGGACTCAGTATGTTTCTCATTCAACTATCCCAACGCATGCCAGTGGGATTTTTTCAGAGTGTGGCATTTGATACATAGACAGAAAGAGCCTCTGAGCAACAGCATCCCACTGTTGTCTGCTATAATGTGCAAATACTAAGTACATTTCCTCAAGTACTGCACTTAAATCCACAACATGTATTTAATATCTTTAGTTACTTTACAGATTTGAATGAATGGTGTGAAATATAATCAAGTCTTAAATCAGACTTTAGTTCCACCTGGAGTAAATTCACAAGCTACCCTGCAGTATACAAAGTCATTCAAACTATCTGCACCTTTACCAGCTTTGATAACACTTTAATGATCAATCATTATTATCAAAACATATACTGACATATACCATTATGCATGAGTACTTTTTCATTCGGTACTTTAAGCATATTTTGATGTTAAAGGTCCCATGTCATACATTTTTTTCTCCCGGGAACCAAGTGACGTTACGACAATCCAAATGGACCAATTGGTCCAAATGGACCAATCCGCTCCTCACACACACACACACACTCAGCCTTATTTTTCTCAGCTGCAGCTCCGCGGATTTCTCAGCCTGAGACACAGCCAGGCTGCGGGTGTGTGTGTGTGCTCCGGCCGAGCTCGGGCCGGGCCTAGCCGTGTCCCGCCGTCCCGCAGACCCCACGCAGCAACCAGGAAACAACACCAGCAAGCCAGCTCACACTGTCCGCTCCAGCAGCGAGCCCCACAACGTCCCGCCAACACGGCACCCAGCCCCCACAGCATTCTCATCTGTTTGTCATTACTGGTGTCATTTTCTGGTTGCTAACGCCATTGTAACACATAATCACTGGTGTTCCGCTGTAACGGTGGTGGACTAATCAGAACAGAGTGGGCGAGCTACACTGCTACACTCTGGTACTTTTACTTTTATTTAGGTAGATGATCTGAGTACTTCTGGGTACCACACATAGCACAATAGCAGAAGGTCTATCTTTACACTCAAGTATGTATATGAATGTATCTGCTTGAGTTTGACATTATGACTAAGAGGGACTTTGACAGTCAGACGGTGAGTCAAATAACATTTCCTGTTTTCTTTGCGTCTTTTTAATAAATAGCATCATTTGTTTTTCATCTTTATTTATCATTATTAGTCCTTGTATCGCAGACTGGATGTGGACTAACAGTGTTCATTCACTGTTTAGAGAACAGCTCATCACATGACTGTCAGCTGAGTGATCTCTAGCAGCAGCTCCAGTAGCACCGAGCTAGTTAGCACGTAACACTGCGACTGGTAACGTAGTGACGAGCAACATTAACAACAATAAACTACTGTTTAAATCATGGAAATGTGTGCTATGAAATAACCGTACAGTTTTAGAAAAGAGATACAGCAGAATGAAAGCTGGAGTTAGCTAACCTTATCAACCATATCATGTCATATCATATGTATACCATATCATATCATGGGTATGTGTAAACCATGTCATAGATGTTCGTGTATCATTAAGTGTACATGTTTCAATATGTCAAGTGTAAGCACATCTGGTAAAGCTAACATAACGCTATCTGATGCAGTAGGTTATCTCAGCTAGCTAAAGCAGCTCGGAACGGCATGAGAGAAGAGGACCAACCCCGTAGTGAAATCTTGCTGGACCATGTGGAGTCTTTCTCTGAAGTTTTCGAACATGATTCCTCGCAGTAAGTCTCACGTTTCTCATGAAAGAGCTGTAACCTGCTGTAACCTGCTGTAACCTGCTGTCACACTGCTGCTGTGCACAGGCAGCTAGCTGGAGACTGTTAGCTGGATAATGTTTATTTCGTTGTTTAAAGCGTGTGATACATTTTCCTGAGCTGAGTCTCACAGGCAAACCCTCGACTCCTCAGAATCGACGTTCCTACACAGCAGGGTCTGAGAGAAGGAATGTTCAGCTGGCGTACGGATACAGCCCAGTCTGCCTGGACCTCCCTATACGATACCCCGCCACTCTGAAATCTTTACCAAAACCGAAACAAAGCTACTGTCTGTGAGTCTGCAGAAAGACCTACTTGTCTGCCTGAAAGTCTTAGCTCTGGAAGAGAATAACAGGTTCCTCTCTTCTACTGTAGGTTGTGTGAAGGGAATAGTGCACTGCCCCCTAGTGAGATATAGTCCACGTTATTTATAATGAAGCGATTTATCAAACATTTATTTTCATAAACATCCACGTATCATTACACCCACTGCAGCCAAACTGCCTCCTTTCTTTTCAGCTCATTCTATTATTATTCATTATCATTCTAGTATTATTATTATTATTATTATTATTATTATTATTATTATTATTAACAAAAATATGTTTCCTGAGTGAGAGGTTACCGCGTTGCACGTAACCATACCCAGCATGTGATTGAGTTTGTATAAGCATGTAGTGAATAGTTAATGAGGGACATTATACATTCTAAGCTAATAAAAAAAATCTTACAGGATATATGGTGTGCAGAGTCAGACAGTGTGAGTAAAGACACGTTTAAAGGAACACACCTGCTCAACATTTTTACAAAAAAGTAATAGTCTTGCTGTTTTCCGTAATGGTTTTACACATTTCTTCTAAAAGGCAATAACATAAAATCAATGTTTTACTATCTAGTTTTGGAAAAGGGGGTATTTTACTTTGACTGAAAATGAATGACATCACATGTGCTTTTATCAGCCTAACACATTATCTGAATCATGAATTAGAACACTTGGAATTGTAGGTTTTAAATAAGGAATTGTGATATCCTGAGAAGATCCCTTGGAAGGTAAATCAATCCTTCTGATAAATATGCAAAAAGAATTTATTGCAAATTCCATTAAAATGATTCACATTTACAGACTTTATACAGTTAGTTTGATGTAGTTGCACAAATGCAGGAGTTTTTCACGTTCTTAATCCCTTGGGGCTGTAAGAGTTTGCTAATTTTACTTAAACTTCATGAATACACAATAAACAACTGACTGACAACTTCAAAAAAATGTTGCATTAACTAGAATGAGATCACTAATATCCATGGTCGGGAACAAAGACATGACTCCATTTGTTTGTAAGTGTGAGAAGTCTCCCACTGGTCAAAGGAGCAAGCTCCAAGGCTGTAGAGAAAATACATGAAAAACCGGAAGCGTCCCAGCACATGGGAGTTATGGCCATTCAGCCAACAGAGTCATAGAAACATGTACAGGTCCTTAATGAAACATCCATAACATGTTAGTGGGAATCCTCCAGAGTCATACAGGATGAACCTGCTTTAGGAAGTAGATTGTCTGCAATGATGTTGTGTTGCTACAGAGAAGGGCTGACTATGTAATAATGATTAACCATGAGTTCACAAAGGGTACAAACGCATAGAATGGAGAGAATCAATAGTTTTTAAAATACCAACCAGGACAAAATTCCTGATACTAAAAACTGTTATTAGCAAACAGTCTGGAATAAGGCATTTCCATAATTTAGTTATAAATAAATTAGTAACTACAACAAACATGGTATGTTTTAGTGTACAAAAAAAATGTAGTATGGAATTAGTTTGATCCTTTGATGCCCTAGTGTTATAGAACCTTTGAGCAATGCTTCACATTGACATAAAGAGCTTTCACTTCATCGACAAATCTATTAATACACGCCCTTTAAAGTCAGTTATAATGAACGCAGTTTACTGTACATTTTCTTTAATCATATTCTAATAATTATACATAATGTCAGTTTATGGATTCTTAAAGTTCCACAGCTGAGAGGGGTTATAACATGAAACTGAATGATGTCTTTAAGCAAACTAAGTTTACCTTGTGCTGAACATAAATTAACAAACGTTCCTCTGATTTGAACTGATAAAACATATTATATGGAAAAAAGAAATATGAACCCCATACAAACACTTCCCTGTGTAAGAATATCATGTTATTGTTGTCCAACTGAATTACTTAGATGGCCAGTTTATGTTGGAAAAACAGAAAGATAAGCCTCTCCCACTGTGTATTTTATCACTATTTTTATTTTGAGTCACTCAAACAGGTGTAATATGCTTTATATATACAGTCTATGGTAATATGTTGATCCTTCACACACAGGGGCATTACTGTGAGGTCAAGTGAAACATTAATTAATAAAAGGTATAACATTTGAACTCTATTTTACTCAACCTCCCAAAATAGCTCATGGGGAAGCTAATAGCACCGATAGCACCTGATGTCATCCTGAAACCTGCTGACATTTCAGTATCAGTACTCATGATGTTTGTGGGCCAGTCATTTATCCTATAGTGTGAATGCCATGTGGGGGGGGGCATGTCACCAGAGTAAAGGACACCTCAGAATCTAAACAGATTATTCCTTTCTGAATGCAATGGCAGACAAACTAAACAGCAGACCCACTTCAGTTTTAACTATGTGCCTTTCCAGATACAGCAGGGCAGTATCTGAGAAGAATTGGGAGGGATGAAACCCTCTTTTAATGGTCACACGTGCAGAGCACACAGCACACACAGTGACATGTGTTCTCTGCATTTAACCCATCCTAGTACCAGGAGTCTAGCACTAGGAGCAGTGGGCAGCTATTGTACAGTGCCCGGGGAGCAATGGGAGTGAGGGGGGAAGGGGGGTGTCCGGTGCCTTGCTCAAGGGCACCACGGCAGGGCAGGAGGTGAACTGGGACCTCTCCAAGTAGCAGTCCACACTCCATATTTTAGGTCTGGTCGGGGACTTGAACCGGCGACCCTGCAGCTCCCAGTCCAAGCCCCTACTGACTGAGCCACTGATCAATCCCTTACACAACTTGTCTGCCATTAGGCTGTGAAAAGTGTTGGAAACACACTGTCCTTTAACTTGCTATTTACTTTATTGATAAATGTGTTTGTCATAAGATCATTATCAGGTCAAACCTCACCTTTAAGCTTTACCTCATGTAGATCTTGGGTTGGAACATTGTTTTTATAAATAAAGTTCTACACAAGTAAAGGACAGTGTGGGAAGTCTGTCTTCACTCGCTTATGGACATTTCCTCCTACGGACCTGTCTGCGCGAAACAGAAGGTGTTCATGAGCCTTCACAGTCTAAACCATTAAATCATTCAAATGATCCCAAAGTTATTGACATGTGTAGTGAACAGTACACATATCACTATCCAAGCAGCCAACAACCAAGACCATGCTGTGTTTACAGTATCAGTATCCAATGTTATTTAGAACATTTTGCTAATCATCAATTTCTTAATATAGTTAATCAGGTGTTGTTAGCGCTTCTGAAGGATTCTAGGGCTGCTTCTGGTCTTAATGGCTGAGGTAGTAGACTTGGTCTGGGTGGGGCCCTTTGCAGAGCCCCTGGAAGTGTTGGAATAACTACTGACAGCTGAACAGTCCTCTGTCGAGTCCTCTGTGGTACCCTTAGAAGAGTCTTTTACAGCACCTTTGGAATTCAGGATAGTGGAGCATCTGCTGGATGGTGAAGTACACTTGGTCATGTCCTTGCTAGTACATGTGTTAGTGCCCTTAGCAGTGTGCTTGGCAAAAACACTGGCTGGTGGGTTACTGTGTGTGTGTGTAGAAGTCAATGAGTTCATAGCAACTTTAACGGCAGTAGTCCTCCTGGAATCAGCAGTCCTGGTCATTAGTCTGGGGACAGTCTGATTTCTCTGGAGCCTTCTGTCTCTCACATGTCTGCCGATGACCTCACTGACGGGGCCTAGCTCAGAGTTTGCGATCATGGTGGAAAGGTTGACCTCTTCTTGAGAAGAGACGGCGGACACACTTTCAACATGTTTGTCTTCACTAACGCCACAACCCCTCTCTACTGTCATCTCTCCAACACAGCCACATGTGTCCTGTGGAAGGTCTTCAGTGATTTCACTTATGTGGCCTTCAGACGCTTCTCTTACATCTGCATCACAGCTAGCCTCCCTCTGAGGGATCTCCCCAACATGGCATTCCCTCTCCTCTGGGACATCAGCATGGCTGCACTGCACTGTCCTGGCCTTCTTTGAGTTCTTGTTGTTCAGAGGGGTGGGGCTGGTGTCGGGGGGGAGGCCTCTCCTTCTCCTGGATGACCTCAGAACCTCAGGGTTCTCAGTGAGCGCTCTAATCGCTGAGCCATTAGTCACTGGGGTTTGAGTCCTGCTGGGACGTCTTCCTGAGTTCTGCACACTGCTGAAGGTCTTGGGGTTTCTGGATTTGTCTGGGGTGGAGCGGGGTTGTGGAGGAAGGCGGTGGTTGCGAGGCAGCTGGTGTTTGCTGCGCTGGGTGAGGTGTTTGTTTTTGGCTTCCTGGAGTCTGGGTTTACAGGTATTGCTAGGCCTGGGGGGGGGCCTGGGGGGGGGCCTGGGGGAGCGTCTGCTGGCTCCCCCGGAGCTCGGCTTTAAGATGGGAACTGACCTGACACAGGAAGCTCTTTGATCAGAGAGTCCAGTCACCATGGAAACCTGCAATAGAAAGAGAACATTTCATTTAGCTGATACTTGTATCCAAAAAGACCTCCGGAGCACCTCAGTGTCAAGTGTACATACACAGGTCACACACCATTGGGTTTGGCTGAAACTTCCACGTGTAAGCTGCCATTTTCAATTACCCCTTCCTTGTAATCTTGTTAGAGAAAAAGTAAGAATAATTGATGTGAAGAAAAAGTAATTGATGTGTACTCAATAATCACGATTATGTTGATAGATATTGAGATCACAATTATGATTATGATCAAAGAGAGCATGTGTCTGTGTCAAGACATGAATATAATGATATCAGCATAAAACCGATGTGAGGCCAGTGACACAGCAGCACACTCAGCTTGTGGAACGGGATTCAGTAAAGAAGACATCAATGAAGATATGATCAAAGGTGGCCATGACATGAGCTGCTGGTATTATTCTTCAGATCGGTCATGTCTTATGGGGGGCTGGCCCATCACACTGGGATTGGCCAGCTCTCCTGATGGAAGAAAGGAACTTTTCTATAGCTCTCTTTTTCTCCAATCTAATACACTTTGTATCTATCACATACAGTGAACTTTAGACTCCACATTGTACCAGTTCTAGTATTAGAGGCAGAGGTCAGCTACTATATACCCAGCGCTCGGGGGACAGTGTGTCAGGTGAACGGGCCCCTCTCAAAGTACCAGTCCACACTGGGGTCTGTTGGGAAACTTGACCAGGTCCCTTCAGACTGAGAAACAATGAGGACAGCTTTAGACAGAGCAGCATGTAGAAAGATGGTCAGACCTGGTCTGTCCTCCTGACCTGCAGGGGGAGCTGCCGGGGTCTCAGCAGGTGTCTCTCAGCTCCCCCCTCTCTACTCCTCCTCTCTCTCTCCCTCCTCCTCTGTGCCCGGGCGCTCAGAGGGCAGAAGGAGCCCCCCGCTGCATAGCCGGCAGGCCCCCCCCTCAGAGAGCGAGAGTCCCGCTGCACTGTGGGACAGCAACACACACAGAGGCACAAAGACAAAAGAGAAAGATATGAATAAAGCATTTTATGGGATACCCTACCATTTTATTCAAAGCTGTGAGTATAATGGCCCTGACACAGCAATACACACATTAAAACAAAGCAGTGTTTGCCAACCGTTGTACACACCACTCTGAAAGATAAAGTAGAAAAATGAAAAGAGATTCAACATGTAGAATGGATGGCGGAGCTGTGAGCAAAATAATTCACTCAGATTGGCTGTTCAGTTTAAAGGAAGAAGATGGACCCGAAGAAAGTGAAGAGGGCATACACAGAATCTCTTATCATTTTTCAGCTTCATCTTGTCCAATCATTTTGAATACAAATATATTTGTGAGTCGGTGTGGTGTGTTAACGGTTTGTAGAAGATTACAGAAACGTGAACAAATGCTGAGTGCGGGACAAACCGCAACAACATGGCCAAATGGGCTTGGTGTGTCAGAAATGGAATCTTTCATGACACAATGAGTCTATATGTATGAATATGACTTTTGTCATTTCGTTAGGGTGTCACTTTTAATGGGCCTGGGGTTAATTGATGACAATGATAATAAACTTTCATGAAGACTCCTTTGTGTTAATGTGCTTGATGGGTGTCGTGTCATGGTTATGCACACTCCTTAAATCAAACGTTACTGACCTTTAAAACCACACGTACAGAGACTGATGTGTCTGTATTTCAGAAACGACAGCAGCATACAGGCAGCTGAGAGGAGGAGTACCTGTTGTTCTGCTGAAGAGGCTCATGTTATTCCCCTGCGCTGCAGTCTTGTGATTGGTTGGGAGACAGGAAGTAAGACGCTGAGTGCCAGCTGGCTCCTTCGCTCGTCCACTCGCTAAGAAGGCCATGTTGCTAGGCAACGCTGCTGAACCTGAAGTAAAAGAGGAAACGCCTTAATTGATGCTGGAGGAGATACAGTATGTCTGCCTCAATACATACTCGACTCTTTGTTTCCCTTATTCAGCAAAACACTCTCCTTCATAAAACCAGGGTTTCAGCCACATGATTTTACACTTAGATTTGGAAGCATATCAGATAACACTAAAACTGATCCAGATCTTCAAACCCTGAGAAAGGCTCCACGGATTGCAGATGAATTGAAACACTGCAGTGCAGTGCTCTTTGTTCAGCATTAGTAACACAGTATACACAGTAGTATGTCATATGACAACATGGAGCTGAGCTCCTGGCATTAACAGCCACACATCAGTTCAGACCGATATACCTATAGTTTTTATATTGCTGCAGGAATGAGTCCTAAAGCACACGAATGACTGAGTGAGTGTTTTGCACTTAATGTTCCCTTGTCTCAAAGTAAATGTTTTTACGTATTTTATTAAATGGTTCTACCACATAAAGCACATCAGTAAATACCCCATTATATGAATGTTGCAGCGGTGTGTGGTTATGGTGCTGGCTGAAGAGATGGGAGTGACAAAGCTGTAGACCAGATACCTGAGCAGAATCAATAAAACGTGTTGGTTTCCACAAACCCTCTCCTCCTTCTGTCCTTCTTTAACTGGGTGAGCAGGATACCACACAATAAGGAGAACTCATCCACTCACTAGACTGCCTCATTGTGTTAGAATTTTAAAAGGATGCGAGACTGCCAATTGACAAAACCATGAACCCAGCTACATCCGGTCATTCTTAGAAGAACTGTTTTACAAGATAAAATATCTGAGATTGAATTTACACTTCAAAAAACATAGAAGTGTGCAGCATCATAGACATTTTATGCCACAGAGCTTATTTTCTGCAATAATCCACAATCCAAAAGAACCAGGTCAGTGCTGCAGGGTTGACAACATACTTCCTCTCCTTTTAGCTTACCTCTCAGACAGAGAAAGGACAGGAAGTCCTCGGTCTTGGGTCGCCTCCTCGTCAGACAGGTGACCACCGCCAGGTTGTGTGCGTGCTTACCTCGTGCTGATGACATCATTGCTGGCGGCCCTGGAGAGCTGGGAGGGGACTGAGCAAACTTCCTCTGCGCCTGCAGCCGTGGTCTGCACACCCAGTGGACAACAGCATAAAAACCATGAATATATGAATGACAGATATCATTTTTGATAACAGAAAATTGAAACATTTCTGTTATTTTTCAGACATAAATCACCAAACTATTGTTTCCCTATTTTTTCTATATCAAATTAAATAATCCCTTTTTATTTGCAAGGTAGGGTATAGACTGTGCAAAACAATGGATATCTTCTTTTTCTAGGTCAAAGTAAAACTGAAAATATATTTTTCATAAAAACCAAAGAAATACATTTTAAACAAATTCCAAATCTATCAATCTCCTCACACATTTCATGTTCTGATTTAGGGATGTCAAAAGTAGGTAGCACCCTCTGTCATGAAAAAATAGTATTGCTATTCATTTTTTCTGTCATGAACCTGAACATGCAAAAACACACACAGTGATGACCCTACAGCTGACCTCTTGCTGGACGAGTCGTCCCTGTGGCGGTGGAGGCTGGCCGGGCGGAGCTGCGTCTGCAGGGAGAGGCTCCAGCGGGCCGACAGCAGGGACTGACAGCCGCTGATGCTGCCATTAACCAGGGAGCCTGAAGGCAACAGGAAGAACTTATATGAGGCTCTTCCTTAGTTCCAGAGATTATTATAAACACAATGAATGTGTCTGGTGTGGCAGGAAATATGAAATGCAATTGGCTTTGCTACTACTAAATGAACAGCTGTGACTAATAGAAGAGAAGAAGAGCGTACTGACCCCTGAGGCGTGTGGGGGGGTGTGAGCGCAGCGTCCTCGGGGGGGTAGCAGCCTTCAGCAGCGTCTGTGTGTTCTTCACTGAGTGTTTGTGCTGAGCAACATGTGTGTGTTTTGCACTTTCTGCGTGTTTTGAGTTGAGCAGCGGCAGTGTTTTATGTGTTTTATGCGAGCGTAGTGTCCTGGTGGATGCAGAATTCCTCTGGAGTGTGTGTGTATTATCTTGTGTGGGTTGTACAGTGTGTGTCATTCTCCCTGATTGTGTTTGCATGTTCTGTAGGGTGGACGTACATTTATTTCTTGGTGTGCATGAGTCCTGAGACACGTTATTTTTTCGCCCTTTGTTGGAGTCTCCATGGGGGGGTTTTGAAATGTGCATATTTTGTGTGTTTTTCTGTGTGTGTGTGATAGGTGGTCTTTGTCGTGGCGTGTGCACACTCTGTCTTGTGCGTGTGTTTTGCTGCTTGTGGGTTTTTGCCAGTGTCCGTGTCTTTCGCTGAGCATGAAGGAGAGTATTTTTTGTTGTGTGCTTGTGTGCACGCGTGTGTATGTGTGAGTGTTTTTGTGTGGCACGGTGTGTGTCTCTGAATTCCCTGAGGGACAGGAAGAGGACTTTGCGGACGAGACGTTCTTCACACCACGGCATCCCGTCACTGATGTCCTGCAGAAAGTCACGAACACAAACACCATCAACTATTAAAAACAGAACGCACTAAAATGGATTATCCACAGGGAAATGCCAAAATGAAAGTACACATTTAAAACCATTTGAAAATCTACAACAGTTATTAGTACCACAGTCCTCCACATACAATTTGAGGCAGTAGTCTAAACTTTTATCTATCATCTATCTATCGATGATATATAGTGCAAAACACTGATTTTATATTTATTTTATTGCTGGGCAAATGTATTTGTTCATGACCTCTCTGTGGCCATATTGTGGGAAAGTTCGAATTTGTAATCTCGATTTTTTGTGTTGTGATTGTAGTAGCCTTGTCTGTCTTTTATTTGTGACTTAATTTTGTTTTTGTCATTTTTTTTTACATTTGTACTATATGCTAGGAGCCCCTTAAAAACAAAATGGTTAATCTCAAGGGGTTTATCCTAAATAAATACATCTCGCTGGAATAAAAACAGAAATGTGAAGGACTACAGTATGAACAGAGTTTATTTATGCAGTCGATCCCTGCAAATATAACCAGCATCAGTGGGGAGGGCTTCTGTGTGCCTTACACTAGGAGTCTTAACTGTTCATCTGGAAACCAACACAGGCACGCAGTTCCATGTGAGGGTAGACTGTTTGTACTTTATGATAAATAACTATAAATAGCTGTTCAGGAATGCCAAAGATGTTTGAGGTTATTTAAAAACAGCCCGTCCATTCAATAGTTTGTCCACTAGAGGGCACTCATGGACGACCATTGGTTACAATTTCAATCTGAATAATTGTTAGTTTACAGTACAAATCAGCTGTTCTTACGATGGCTAACACTACATTATGTTAAAGTAAGATGATGAACATGGAAAACAACAGCATGTCAATATGTTCATTATGAGCGTTTTTAAAGATGTATCTATAGAGTTATCAGCTTTTAAACTCAGTATGAGTCCAGCTTTACTTTATGCTCAGCCACACTGCTATGCCTTTAGGCCAGATCAGACAGGTTTATGCATCTGGCCGTTTCTCAATCGCGAGTACGCTTGCTTGGTAGCACATGTCTTCCGAGTCACTTCCTTCAGAAGCTAGGCAAGAATCCTTCCTGGCATTCGGAAAACGAAGAGTGGAACAGGCTAACAAGTGTGCAAGTGTGCGTCATATGAGAGGCCCCGCCTTACATTTTCCGCCACAGATTTGGGGAAATTGGTCCGTGCACAAAGCATTGTGGGGATTTTAAGGACGCGAAGTCTACCCATGTGCAGCCTCGAAATTTCCCCCAAACCAAGGACACGGCCTCGGTGGAATTCCAAGTATGCTGGACATTGGAACGGTCCTGCTGCGCCACTTGATGACGTAGCATCCTTGAAATATTGGCTTGGAAGCCAGTATCCTCGCGATTGAGAAACGGCCACTGTGTCCAAGAAGCATCAGAGAGAATACACACCTTCTTCTTGCCAGAATGATAGAGGATGCATGCTGGATGTAATAATCCAAATGTTTGTGGAAGCAGATGCAGACGTGTTCCTGTCCTTATCCACCACCTGTATGTATCCATGTTATCAACATGCTGCTCTGCAATATTAATCCTACATCGACAACTCATAGCTCTAGCATGCCTCAACTAAACGCATTATTCTCATGAATTGGAAAGTCAGAAAGCCCAACTGTTTCAACTTAAATAAATGTCTGGAGGACTTTCTGAAGCTTTTAAGCATGGAAGAAGCTGCATCCTCGCTTTCAGATGTTGATAGGGGAGATAACAGGTTCTGGGTAACAATAAGGTTATTTACTGGAGCTAAACCATCTTGGTAAAAAAAAACCTTTGTAAAAAAAACAACCACACAAAATCCAACAAACTGTGTACCCATGGTGTTCAATCTGGGCCTGAATGTTAAAGCCTGTTAAAGGGCCGGATCATGAGTCTAATGTAAAGTTATACATTTGGAACAGGGGAAAAGTAAAATAAAATAGAGAAACGAATAATCAAAGAATATTTATGTCATGAAGTCATCATGTACTGATGCAGATCCAAGACCACATGTGATGCAAGACCATGTGCAGGGGCGGACTGGGACTAAAACCCAGCCCGGGAAACTCGACCGGCCCAACTCGGTACCGCTAGTCAATTGTCAATGGGGGGGGGTGCTAGTGAATTGTCCGACCGGCCCACTTCGGTACCGGAAAAAACTCTCTGTATTCCCAATGGCCAGTTGGTGGACCGCCAGCAATGATATTTGGCCCGGAAAATTATTTTGAGAATAAAAATAATCTTTTTTTTTTGTATTCAGTCGCACATATAGGCTATAATGTCCGAATAGAGAATCTACCTACCCCTGAAGAATGCTTATTGTACTTCTATCCATGTTGAGAGTGAATGACACACAACACAGGCACAATCTGACAGCGGGGTGCACTGACGCTGATAGTGGATCAATAAGTAGGTGGACAGCGCGTGGTGCTGAAATAGCCAACATGTGGTTTGTGGTTTGAAAAAAATAACACCAGCTCACTAAATCATTCAAACGTAATGTTTACTCAGGCCTATATGTGAACAGTAACAAAGTTCAGTCAAAACATTGACAACAAAATCGGAGAAGCCGCTTGATCATGGAGGGCGAGGGGTGGTGGTGCATATGCTGCCACCCCAGTTGGCAGCTTTGTTTTGAAAGAAAAGTTTTGGCTCATCGGACATTTATGAGGGGAAATCCCTAATGTCCGAGTACATGTGACTGCAGCACAAGACGCGAGCCTTGTAACCCCTCCCCCGGCCCTGGCGCGAGCATGGAAATGTGATTGTCATTTGAACGGGACGGCGCAAAACGAGAAGCATTCGGGCCGTTTCTCAATGTCGAGTATACCTGCTGCAGAGCCAGTGGCCGTTTCTCAATCGCGAGGATATTGGCTTCCAAGCCAATATTTCAACGATGCTACGTCATCGAGTGCCGCCGAAGGACTGTTCCAATCTCCAGCATACTTGGAATTCCACCGAGGCCGCGTCCTTGGTTTGGGGGAAATTTCGAGGCTGCACATGGGTAGACTTCGCGTCCTTAAAATCCCCACAATGCTTTGCGCACGGACCAATTTCCAAAATCTGTGGCGGAAAATGTAAGGCGGGGCCTCTCATATGACGCACACCTGCACACTTGTTAGCCTGTTCCATTCTTCTTCGTTTTCCGAAGCCGTGGCTTGGAAGCATACTTGCTTAGTTTCTGAAGGAAGTGACTTGGAAGTACGCGACTACGAAGCCAGCATCCTCGAGATTGAGAAACGGCCACTATTTCAACTATACTACGTCATCGAGTGGCACCGAATGCTGGACATTTAACATGCATTTAAACAGTCATTCGGCACCACTCAATGACGTAGTATACTTGAAATAGTGGCTCTGCAGCAGGTATACTCGACATTGAGAAACGGCCACGGTCTACAATGACAGAGAAGAGACTGTCAGCATTGATTCAAAACGCACTAAAGCTTTGGATCTTAATAAGCTTAATGTGCAGTGGCGGACTGGCCATCTGTAGAATCTGGAGAATCACAGAACGGCGAGGCTCCCCCCCCCCCCCCTAGCTAGTTAAGATGGAGCATTATTTTTATAGGCAATGTGTACAAAGAGGAAAGACATTTCACTTACATATTTCTTTTTGATGATGTTCCGTTTGGGTCTGTCCGTACTCATCTTGACAAGAAGACGCTAACGGGCACATGGAACACCGAAGCCTTTTTCTTGACCTTTGACTCACTCTAAATTCCAACACTCTGTCCTGGAAAAAAGGAGTCAAGTTAGGTTTAAAAAATATTTTGAATAAATGAGAGTGCAAAAAAGTAAAATACACCAACAGTTCATCTGCAGAAACAAAAAATGTTCTGTTCAATATTCAATGTTCTGTCTGGTGAGTTTCATGACAAGGATGATGCTTCAAACAAGCACAGCCTAACTGGCTCTGTATAAGACATTCAATGTTTCATTCATATGTTAGCATTAAGACACAGTATTGCACGTCCAATTGCCTGAAAACAGCAACACAACATGATGTAGAAGCACAACAAACTACCCAACAAATTAAATATAAAGATTCATAAAGAAGAAAATAATCCAACTATAACCTGATCAGCTAACTTGAACTAACTGTCAACACATAATAAATGATTGCATATTAATTTTATTTATTTAGTCAACGTTGTTATTGTTTTAGTTGAAAAACAACGCTCTGAGAAATGTGGCTTATTTGTTAATTAAAAAGGTTGTTTCAAGAAGAATATAATGGGCAAACTAAGGTCAAGTTGTGTATCAGTAAAACATGAAAATAATATCATTATGGGAAACCAGGGTGGACGTTTGAAAAGGTTCAGGATTCAAAGGCATGCAGGTTGTTAAGCAGCTGAGTACTGCGCAGGACAATGAACATGAAGCCTCCTTTAGCACTGTGAGCGGACTATACAATAAGGGTATCCGTCCACATCTAAGCTGCTCAGCTTCCCTATAGTATGATACACACTCAGTTTGCTATCAATTATAGTGCCCAGCTACTGTTACTACTGTACACTTATAATGGTTTTAATTATATGGGACAGAGAGGAGTGTCTTTAAATAAATGATCATCTCTTTATTTTGTTCATATTTGAAATTAATAATCTTTCTGGATACCAGTTGCTTTAACTTGTACTCTCTACTCTATAACTTCTCTCCTTCTCTGTTCAAAGTACTATCAAAGCCACATCATTGCACATTGTTTTATTGTTCTAAGAATACAGTTTGTTAGTATAAGTGCATGTCCCCTAGTAATGCGGCCTGGGGTCTGGACATCTGTCCAGCAGCAACCTGCCACATCCTTTAAGGTCTGCTGCTTCACAGGGGGAGCTGCCCTTTGGCCAGTCTTACCCCAGTGCACTGACATGGAACCTGAAGAATGGGGCTGCACAGCATCTTAGTCTTCACACATAGCCTACTGCTCTGCTAAAGCCCCCTCTGGATGAAGTGATCATCTACAGTTATAGCTTTAAAATAATGGCAGCAGCTCATTTTATGTTAATGAACATAGGAAGTGCACTGCTTTAGAACCTTAAGATGGTTATATACACTAGATTGATGTGTGTGCATCCACCACAGCATCAGTCAGGATGTGTAACAATGAAGATTACAGTGGGACCCTGGAGTTAGTAAGCAAGCTAATGTCAGACAATGAAAGCCCATTCACCTGCAGCAGCTTTACAGAACAGGTGTTCCTGCATACATGCAGCTCTGTGTGAGCCCATCAGAACAGAACCAGATCAGTCAGGCTGTGTCTCAGTACAGTCTGTTCAGTCAGAACAGTCAGTACAGGGTGCAGCGGGCCCACATTCTGTGTACAATCCTCACGAGACTGTACATCCCTGAGCACTGACGATCATATCGGCCTTTAAACAAAGCAATATCAAGCAATCATCGATCACACACCTCCAGCAGGATGATCGGCCTACATCATGAGCACATCGACACCCTAAGGGGATTCACGGACCCTCTCACTCTCTTTAACGAACCTGACACAACGGATCACATGAGATATCCCCCCGGCTCCGGCATGCCGTGTCCCCCCTCTCAGAGCCGCTGGGCCCGGTGTGCCGCTCGGCTCGGCACCTGCACGGCTGATGGAGCTCAGGGAGGCAGCACCACTGCGGTCATCCGAACCAAGGCCAGCCTCGGTTAGGTTTCAGTGCGCGTGTATTGTTTCATATACGGTCGGTGCAGGCTATATTACGGTCTGTGGTTGGCTTATTATGCATCCACCACGTGACCCGGAAATCGGTCGAGTCCATCGGTACACCAGCTCCGAGGTTCTGGGTTCTACCTTCTGCTTTATCAAATGCCCGATCTGGACGTTTGTCGTCTTTCGGTGACTCGGTCCAGGCGGCCCCGGAACCAGAACCCTCCGGAGAGACAGTCCCTGCAGCCGAGCTTAGATCCAGGCTGCGCCTCTATTCTCTCACTACGGTACAGCGCCTCAGCTGCCTGCGAGTCAATGGTATCAACAACTATACACTAAACAAATTATTAGTTTTTATCACTATTTTCTTGATTTTCTTAATTTCTTTCTCTATATTTTTGTATTATTTTTTGTATTCTGTGTATGTACCTGTTTGTTCAATGTTTGGTGTGTAATGTTTGATGTATATATATTTTCTTAAATAAAGGGGGGAAAACTACTATACAAATTAGATAACAATACATTCTGACATGTCACAGAAGTATTTAAAAGCTATGAGAGAAAGAGAATTTAGCCCATTTTCAACAAGATGAGGTCACTGTACCATAATGTCATGCAAAAATAGTATATTTATATTTTATGTATGTATTGTGCTCGTATGTTGTTTGACTTCAAAATTAAAATGGATTAATTGTTAAATATATTCTAACATTATTTTTGAATTGTCAGACTACATGCTGCTTGAGTGAAGCTCTTCTTCAGTTCACATCAGAAACAGAGTCCTGTGGACTGCACAGTATTCTTCCTGTCATGCAGCATGTTGGAAACACAACTAAACTATTCTTTTTTGGAGAGAAAACCCTGCTGAATAAAAAACCAGCATAGACCAGCATGGTTGACCAGCAAAACCAGAATGTGTTGTGTTTTGGTCACTTGTATGCTGGTCTATGCTGGTCTATGCTGGTATGCTGGTCTATGCTGGTGACCAGCATACCAGCATAGACCAGCATTGACCAGCATAGACCAGCATAGACCAGCATTGACCAGCATAGACCAGCATAGAAGTGACCAAAACACAACATATGCTGGTTTTGCTGGTCAACTAGGCTGGTCTTTTCAGCAGGGTATCTATCTATCACCAGCTTATGTTAGTATACAATGTATTCTGGTAACTATCAAAATAAAGACATGTCTAGTGTTCATAACAGCATTTTTATTTAATAAATTATACATTAACAATACAATAATATTACAAAAAAAACCTACATCTAAATAAATATATAATCTTAAATAGATGCATTTGATTTAAAAAATAAAAATAACAAATATATTTCAATTTTTTTTTGTTTTCTTGTTAATATCCATTATCTTCTCTGTTATATATTTTCCGGTCTTTGCCAATCTGGCCAGCATTTCTTGGTCCTCCACGTCTTTCTCGTACAGCCACTGCTTGAAGCAAACTGAAAATAAATGAAAAGATCAGAGTATCAAATATCGTCTAAAGATGTACGGTACTACTACTTTTATCGATACCGCTTATCGATCCGGTCCTTTAACGGTACTCTTATCGGTTCTTTTGAAAAAAAAAAAGGTAAATGAACTAGACATATTGTGAACAAAATTAACATTGCTTTTTATTTAAATTAAATAAATAATATTTCACATCAAAAGAAACAACAATGTTTTAACAAACCGTATTAAATAATGTGATGACAGAACTGTAAACAGAATAGCTGAAACTTTAACAAAATAAATAACTCAGTTACCTCTACTCATTAACCCATGTTTGTATAATTGAGTTAACTCTGTGTGTTGCTGCTAGCATACATAACATACCTGACGTGGAAACGTTACTTGTGGATGGGGCTACAGAGCCACTAGAAAGACAGTCGAACCCGGTGCATTTCTCCGTCTGAATGTGGTGCACTTTTGCTAAATGTTTAGACAAATTGCTCGTGTTACCGCCCTTACATGCTAAACTCTTATTGCACTTTTGGCAACGAGCATTTTCCACCTCAAGACCAAGCCCCCAGGAAGTGCGCCGGACTCTGAGGAAAATATTCGTTGTGTCCAAACTACCCAGTATGAACTATTTTATAGCCCTTATTAGAATCATTCGGTCCTTAAAGTTGTAAAATGCTCTAAAAGCCGAATCTAGATTTATTTTCTCTCCCCATTCATTCTAGTGAGCCGAGAGTGGGTGCTCGGGGGGCGGGGCAACCTGTTAAACCCCATCCCCCCGCCACCGGGGGGAAAAACGCATCATCTGCAGGAAACATCTTCTGAGGGCTTCTTAATATTTAATAAACTATGAATGTTTCATATCCATGTAACGGGAAGAAACTCAGCTAACTGATCTTTTTTTTTTTTTCAAAAAAAAAAATACAAAGCTAACGCTGAGCCTCTGAATTAGCCCCGGGCGAAAAAATGCTAATGCCGTTTGCACAGAAAACACGGTATAACACCCTTATTACTTATCGTAACTGCACATCCAACATATCGATTAGCATCGTGAGAGTACACAGAATCAATAGGTATGTATATCATCACTCCATGATAAGAACTTGCGACATTATTAACAAAAACAGACATCAAAACACGTGGCGCTAGGTAGCCAAAACGAGAATATGTCTTACCTTGGTCGTTGTCTGATCAAAAGTTGTCTTCAATGGCATTAAAACGATAAAAACTTTGCTGAATCCATAGGTTAATCCAATGTGTCTGTGTCACTTTGAAATGATTTCTGCTAATCCATAAGCAATAAACCTACTTTTCCGTTTTCAGATTTCAGAGCGTGAGACAGGTTTAGATTTGGGGAAACTGCATGCGCATAGCCCCCACTTTTTTTTGGTAACGTTGGTGTGTATGTGGAAATTCTCCTTCGATTCTATTGGCTCTAACGGTTAAAAAGAGATGTCAATCATCAAAATCGACCAATGGGTTCCAATGAGCAGCTCTCATAGGAAAGAACGAGACTCGAAAATACATCATAGACGCATTTTGTAGTCTTATTGCATATTAGAAACGGAGTTGGCGACTGTAAGACTGCGATATAATGTTTATGTAGCAATAATACATATGACATCTATTTTTTAAATGTCTCCAGTACCGATAAAAAGATCGATAACGTTGGACCTTAACGGTACCGCGGTCTTTAATAATTCAGACCCGGGGCCCCGTTAATACCGGGGCTCGGTACCCATCCCTAGTTTTAATTATTACATCATCAATATTACATTTCAAATAACCAAGTACTTGATATCTCACAAAGAGCAAGTGGCTATTGCTGCTAAGAACATACCTTTCAAAACCGATAGCTTCTGCGGGGTTAGAGGCTGCCTGGTGGTCTTGGTGGTGGGGCATTCCTTTCCAGTCAGGCTCCTTTCCCCTAAGGTTTCGGTGCCCCAAAACGCCACAGCCAACTCCTTCACGAACATGGAGTCCCTTGTGTTTCTCTCCCCATTCTTTTTTTATTATTATTTTTATTTTTGCCCAGACCTCTGGACGCACTGGAATCTCCCCTTGCAAGTGAATCTGACAAAAATTTGAAACATAAAATGTGTACAGTAGCCTATACATAAAAGGTAGACACCAATATGTGACTGTGACGAAGATGGCTTCGTCACTGTGGACTGACGGCTTCGGGCTTTGTATATTGCACATGTGTTTTATTTTGAAAAGTGTTCCCTTTCCCCATGTCTGTTGCTCCTGATTATGTTCACCTGGTGCCCTGTGTTGTCTCCTCCCCCCTCACCTGTGTCTTGTTGGGTTAATTAGTGTGGGTATTTAGGCTCTGTGTTTCCTGTTTTGTTTGGGGTGTGAGATCCTTGTGGCTGGTGACTGTGCTCACGTGAACAGCGAGATTGAGGCTGTGTCATGTGCCTGTGAGTAATAAATGCCCACACCGGGTTGTATTTTGGACGTTCTGCCTCTGCCTCCTTGCTTGGTCGGGCCGCTCAACGGTCAGCTTCACAGTGACTGAGGAGCAAAAATAAAAAGGCTCCACTATGGAAATAATATATACCTTCCCATGCGGCTCGCTCTTTGAAGGGGTATTATTGGGGTGTGTGGGTGTCCAGGGTGCAGGCTCACACTGTTCAGGTGTCTCAGATTGTTCTTCTACAGAATGTGAATAAGACACAAAGAAAGTGTAGCAAAAACATTTCAACAATAGTATAAATTCATATGCGTATATCTTGATGGGCTGATTGTTTACACATTTCACTGCCATCTTGTCTGTTTCTTTTATTGCAGTTGCTGATGAAAGTTAAAATGCAAAATCGATCAAAGACTGACATTATTATTCACTTGCAATTTAAAAACAAATGTACTTACTTTGTGAAAATACCTGGTTTAATAGTTTATCCAAATACATTTTTAGATTTGCTGTCCTGTAGGTGGCGACTTCCCCTTCCAGCTCAGCTTTGGAATCCTCCAATTTAGCAGATCTTTATAATATAATGAAAAAGAAAATTATCAACGAAACAGCCTTTTAGCCTACCACCAGTCAAATCTGTCAGGTAAAAACACAAACATTAAATATACCTTCTGTATTAACCGTCTAAAGATGTTTCAGTGTCATACAAATCAGTTCCTGTTGTAATTGTGCAGCTGTATTATCTGGGAAATAGAAGAATCGGATCAGGATTCGGTATTGGCAGACAATCAATATCAAATTACTCGGATCGTTATTAGCATCAGCATTTGATCACCTTTGTCTACTTGCAGCCTAAATACAAAGATAACTCCACTCCTCTCTTACCACTCTTACCTCTAATGAGCCTTGGTAGAACTAGTGTCCGAGTCATAGGGTCCAGAACTCACTGAAGACGTGGAACAGAGTACAGGCATGGTTCGATGTACAGGGAACTGGAACTTTGAACAGGTGTTTTCATCTTTTCTGCCTGAAGATTCACAAGTTCTTGATCAGGTGTTGGATGTGGGCTGGCATGATCCTTTCTGCAGTGATGAATAAAGAAAAGAAAGAAAACATTGTTAATAATAGTAATGATGGTAACAACAATAATATTAATATAACTAT